TTTTCCCACAGGTAAGAATGCTCCAAATATGGGTAATGGCTCAGACTGATTAAGTAAACAAAATTGCTTTTTTATTTATGCCAAATAGTTTGTGTACAAAGAAATATCATAGTTGTTTTTTTTCTCATATAAAAAATCGAAGCTTTTTTTCACAAAGGTCTGTCCGTAAACTAAATTATTCATAATGCATTTCATAAAAAGGATTACCATTACACAAATAAATAAAAATACCGGATACTGTATTTAAAAAAAAATATATCGATGTCATGATATATTTTTAAATGTCGTATGATTTTTTTTTTATAAAGTAGAATATTTGAGCTGCCGTCAATAGGAATCAGGCAGATTGACATTTTAAAAAAAATTAACACCTTAACTTTCACAGCTCGTATTTTGATGATTTCGAAACTATCTTAATAATTTAATATGTAGTCTATTAAATTATTTAGATAGCTTAGAAATTCATCGAGATACGAGCTGTGAAAGTTAAGGTATTAATTTTTTTTAAAATGTCAATCTGCCTGATTTCTATTGACGGCAGCCCATTTGGTTGAAAATTTTCTTTCATGATTATTTATGATTGATAATCATGCATATTATTATAAAATCATTATTCTTTACCTTTGTCTCAAAGATACGATTTATTATACATCTTATTAATTTAATAGGTAGTTATCTATAATGAGTTCAGAACTGCATCCTTATATTTAATAAAATAAATTGTTTCCGGAATTAGCAAGATATTCTTCGGACAATAGAAAAAAAACTAAATATATGCATATTTGAACAGTAAAATATCCTTCAGACAAGAATATAAAAACACATGTAAAAAATAAGACTACAAATAGGTTAATTTCCACTGGTAAGTAGAAAAATTGCTAGTATCAATATTACGATCATTAGAAATAGCAAACTTTTTAGAATCTATAACTGACTGAAGGCTAAAATTACCACCATTATCAATCGTAATTTTGAATAATTGTGTCACATTATAAGGAACATATGGTCTAACCGTGAACAGTTGTTTTTCGCAATCAGGATTATATGTGAATGCAAGGGGTTGATTTTTATCACATTGAACGCTTAAAATTGAGACAATATTATCACCAGAGCCCCAAAAAAGCCAAACTTGATTTGGTTTTCTAGATGGGCCAAATCTCGGAGTGTTGTCATCTTTCAATTCTTCAAAATAAACATGATAATTATTTGTTGTCGTCCAGTATGTGGTTGTATCACTTAAATTCTGAATAGTAACGGTTTTTGTATACAAACTAAAAAATAATTTTTGAATACAAACTAAAAAAAAAAATATTTATAATAAAAATAATAGTAAAATTTTCTTACCTCATTTTTTGGATAAATAACAAGAAATTGAAGATTTTCAAAAGGATGAGGTTCTTTATAAAATCTTGATTTTGTTTTAAATAAAAAATGATCCTGACCTTATTCTAAATTGATTTATGTAAAAAATTGAAAAATTGTCAATTTGGTCCCTTTTCCCAGCGCCTAGCCCATACTGATAATTGGCAACAACTACCATATTGTCGCGAAATAATGGCATAGGCGTTATTTAGAATAATGGCCCGAATTAAGCATAATTTAGGCTAAAATTTGTAATTTCACACTGTGCACTCTTTCTTATAATTTTTAAATATTTATCCCTTAATCTGTAGATCATTTCCAGGCAAATTTGCCTGGAAAATTTCTACAATTAAAAAAAATTTTTTACTTAAAGCTTTTTATTCACTTTTATATTGGTCATGCTTAAGTTTAACGAACTTTACTACTTTAGGTTCGTTATCGTCGATCTTGACCATTTTTGGTCAAGATAAAAACGTTTTTTAAAAATCATCTTCTACTATATTCCAGGCAAATTTGCCTGGAATTTCGTCCAATTATCTTATGTCTTAGGTCATCATCGTCGATCTTGAACATTTTGGTCAAGATAAAAATGTTTTTTAAAAAATCGTCTTCTACTGTATTCCAGTTCAATTATCTTATGCCTTTAAGTAACACAAATCAGAATGCACGATTTAAATTTTACAAATTTAATTCTAACAACTTAACACTTTCACGCTTCATATTTATTGTTTTATGATTTCAGTTACGTCTTCACAAACATTTTACAACCATATTTATGGGTGGTCTAAGCTTGATAAATCCTGACTTAATAATGCTTGGCATTAAACCTTTGAGATTTTAAGAGTAACTTAAAGTGCTGTCGTTATTTTGAATTTTAAAACACTAAATTTATTAATTTTTTGTTTTATTTTTACTTCAGTAGAAAATGCTTTTTTCCTTTACAATACCACATGGGTAAGAACCACACCGGAGAGTTAATAGTGCGAGATGATTATATCAGAATCATAAGATAGTCGAACGAAGATAAATGAATATTGAGTTGAAAAAACCTATGCAATAACATAATGTTGTATATAATGAATAAAATCATAATAAAATAAAAGAATCGATGTTCTATTTAGCATTGGTCTTCAAAAGTAACCCAACCGATCTTATTATAAACTCTAATTATATTTAGAACCTGATGAATTATTATTATTTTTTTTTTTTGAGTGAAAATCTCTAAAACAATGCGGTCTTACCTTAGAGCAGCATAGCGGCACTTTACATTTGGCACACCATAGTTGACTTTGTGGGGGTTATCGTAATTAATCACTTTTTTGCCACGTTGTGATAAGTACCGACAATAAACACATGCTTCCCGTTTTTCTCTCCATTCCACAATATGTTCTCCATCTAGTAGGTGGATTAGGGGTAATTCAAAGTTTTTAGTTACATGTGCGATTCGTTTGCTTTTTAAGGATGTTTGAGGTGGTGGCATTTGAGATGATGTTTTATCATAGTTTTTATCATAATCTAAAGTATCTTTAATTAAATCCCATGCTAAATTGATTCTAAATTCTCTACTTAAGATGCTTGAGTTAGTAACTTTACGATACAGAAGTATGGAATTTACAAGTATCGTGTCTAAAATCCAGAAAAACAAAGAGCTCAATGATAGATTACGGTGCCCGGAAAATGTACCGTTGATTATCAATCACCTGAATTGAAGAAATTACTGAACACCGAAGATCGTACAACTAAATAAACATTACTACAGATTAACTATCGTAACACTAAACGCTACGCGAAAAATAAAATTTACAAATTAGCTTGGGAATATAATTTATTAAACAATAGTCAGATACAATAGCTTATTTTATTACAATAGCTTAACTTTATATTATTCGAAAATGTATAACGACAAAACATATTTAAACTATTCGATTTTACTTAGCCAGAACTTTGTACGTTTTTAAAAAAATTTACTCTTAATACTGTGACGACAGATATTGTGATACCGAATATTGTAATCGATCACGTGAAAAATACACGAAATGCAATAAGTTATATTTGTGATCGAGAACGGTATTTCAGATCCAGAGGGGTAGTATGGGAGGATGTAAGAGGAAATTACACATCCTTAAAGAAATAAAACATGGTTGAAGAAATTAAATATATCATTATAAATAATATTTAGTAGCCTTAAAGTAATAATAAGTGCAACGTCGCATTTGTAAGCGACGAATTTTATATTATAAATAAAGGCCGAAATGGCCCTAGAAGCAGTATGCTTCGTTTGCTTTATTAAAACAATAAATTCTAATACCTTACATTGTACTTAATAAACACTAACACTATTACCGTTACAAACCCTATAAACCCCAATAACGTCGCTGTTCAATCCTTGACCACGTGATTTACCCTATTTGTATTCGTTGACCCAAAGTGACCGAAAGCCTTAACTGCCCACAAGCCAAATCTAACACCCTCTTTCGAAAAGGTTACTTGTCATACATTACACGAGGTTTTGAATTTTGGAGTGACCGAGTCGCAATCTTCCGAACTCAACAATATGTTTTGAAAACCTACTTTGAAAAATAATTGCGATTCATGTATCTTCAATTATACCACTTATATTTAATTATATATATAATATTATTAGAAATAATATTTACATTTTTAATAGTTGTAGAGCAACTATATTGAATAACGTATACAAACCCAAAGGAACATATAAATCATTAATGCTAACGCTCTCTAAACATATTAGCTACACCATATATTATATTTGTATTAATTATAAACATATTATATTAAATAAACTGAATTAAATATTTGAATAACGCAAAAACTTTGACATTTCAAAATTATTAAATGAAAATTTAAGCTGAGATAACATTCTTATTCGAATCTAACAAGAGACTGATCATCTCAAGAGAAATTCAAAAGTAAAGACTGTATAACACGATATTTTATCCCATTATATTACACCAAAAATTTAATACTAAAAACAATAAGAAGATACTCGACCTTTTACAATGAAATTACACATATTATTTTGGAACAATATAATTAGAATTTTAATTATAATAGCCTTCATCACAATAATACACGACCTATTTTTGAATCATATCAAAAGACAAAACAAACGCCTACAAGATAAAACTGAAAACAATTGGAAACAACAATATTTACACTACGCTAACACCAAACCAATACCAGATCAAGTAATACCAATAACAATATTTCCTACAACAACAATTCAAACTACAACAATAAGTCCAATATTAACAATAGTCAATACTATACCTAACACAGTAGATAAACCTTCCAACACAATAAAGATTGTCATACAAACACAGACTACGAATCAGAATAGTTCAAATAACAATATCTTTATTATTGAAATATTAAGTGCAATATTTTCATTTATAGCAACAATATTAGCAACAATACTCTATTGTATACGAAGAATTAAAAAGAACAAAAGGAATAAACAAAGAGACATAACACAACCAGCATTACCACTTGCCACTAACATAATACTTGGACTATATTCAAACCAACAACAATTGTTACCACAATCACAAATATTAGACTTAGCAAAACAATTACAACAAAGAGATTTAAACAACAAAGGAAAAGGCAAATCCAAACAAAAGAGACACGCACCTGTTATAGGTACAGGAATACCAACTAAACCTGAACAAAGATATAATTATTATACAGCCTCTGGTGTAGAAACATCTGATTATCCAACTGACCCAGAGTGGAATACATAAAACAATGTCAACCACAACAATTAATGTTCAACAAACCACTTTAACAATCAATGAGACAAATAACAACTGCGACAATATTAACCAAATTAACCTTTATTTAATATTCACCATTATAATACTAACATTATTTTATTTACTAACAATAATATGCATTTGCTATCACAACCAAAGATATAAAAAGAGGAACTATCGAGACAATCCATCATTAGGATACAATGCTCAATACAGAGAATCAACTTGCAATATACTTTAAAAATATATGATTCTTCCAACACCATCTGATTAAACAACACTCACAATAGTAGCAATCATAATAGGAATCATTATAACAGGACTAGTAATACTTGTAATCTACAAACTTATTAGAAGACAAAGAATAATCAAAAGAAACAACTATAATCAAATACCACTAGCACCTTTAAATTATTGAATGACCAATATATTCAATAAGATCTTTAGAAAGAAAAGAATACCCAAAAGGCAACAAACTCAAGATCCAAGATACTTTCAAAACCTACAAGACTTTGAACAAAGATTTAACAATGAAGATACAAAAATACAAGACACCCAAACTTACATCCAAACCATTCTATAACTGACCTGAGAAGTCATAACCAAAGAGTACCTTTATTACCAAGAAGGACAAATAAACCTATCTATTTGAATTATATTTAATGCAAACAAGACAACAAGTGATATTCTCAACAATCTTGATACCAACACCAACAGTAACCCTAATCCAAACAACAGCAACAACTCTAACAGTAACAGCAAGCTCAACAACAGTACAAACATACACACTAGGATACTTCCAAGATACAAACATAATCACCCAAGATATAGTAACAATTATATTAATAGTATCAGCAATACTACTATTTGTATTCTTTAATTGGAGAAGAAACCTCTTAGAATTAGAAAGAGAACATAAAAATAAAAGAGAACACACAGAC